CAAGGCCCAGAGTTTGGTCAAGTGACTATTTAAGGGCATTCTGAGAAGGGAAGGATGACACAAGGACAAACACATCATCTCCACTTGAGTGTGGCAACAGGATATGATTTACAAAAGAAAAATTAAATCATCATGATTGTTAGAAGAACTGAATTGCAGCTCATACAAAAATTAGCCTATGAATCAGCTAAGTCACCATGCATGTGTGTGACCTCTCAGGAATAAAGAACTTAATTGCTTAAGACTTTATTAGTGATAAGATATCTAATAGAAAATTGGCTTTCCTGCCAAATACTCAAATATTATGAAAGTATGGAAGTACCTTTTCTCAATTATGGTTATTATATTATGTCCTGTGCTTAGAAACTCCAATACTACTGGAAGTTCTCATTTTACACCCTTTCTTTGGGCTTTCTCATTCATTCCTATGACTTGAACTTCTACCCTCTATGAGACTGTAGTCTCATCCAGTGCTCTCCCATGAACCCAACGTCTCTCTCAGGGTGTCTCATTCATATGTCAAATCAACGTGTTCAAAGTTTACTGTGTTGCTTTCCGTCCCAAATCTGGTTCTCCTCATCAGTATCAAGCCAGTTATCCAAGCAAGAAAAAGGGGGAGTGATCCTTTGCTCCTGTTTCTGTACTTCAGTTGGGTTATCTAGTCTTGTAACTCCTAAAAGCTTTATAAATATGTCTCTTCCTTTGTTATTTTTCTGTGATTGCTTTTGTTCTTACCATCATTTGCCTGGACTACTGTAGAATAACTCGATAGACTACCTCCCGATCTTTTACTATCCCAACTCTTCTTCATATTGCTCTTGGTTATAATGTGTATTTCTTTACAACAAAAAGCAAAGGATCCCATGCATCAAAACAAAACAAATCCAATGTGACCATGTCACTCCCATACATAGTACTTTTTAAAGGCTCCCTGTTGCCTATAAGACTAAGTTCAGATTGTTTAGCAAGTCTTATTGTGATTCTCCTCCCCGTTTTGGTCTTGTGTTCTTCCCATATGCCCTGTGATCTAGCCACGCCAAGTCTCTTGCCATTCCCCAAATACTTCATGTCTTTCATCCTGAGATTTGCAGTGTTTTCCTCTGCTTGGAATGCCCTTCATAACCTGTCTGCTGAGAATTTCTAATCCTCAATTTCCTTGTCTGTACAACAGGGTGATAATAGTGCTGATTCCAGAGGGTTGTCACAAGGACTAAACAAGAAAGAAGATCTTCTCCCCACAGTGTCTGGGGTACGGCAGCACTCTGCAAATGTGAGCTATCATCCACTGATCTGCTGTCACTGCCATCATTATCAGTATCTTGGCTTTTTTGTTGTTGTTGTTGTTGTCAAATCTGAACAAAAAGATCTTTGTTCAAAGTCTTTCCTGACTTACCTGGAAGTGTTAGGCATTCCTCCTCCCTGATTCTATATGCCTCATTATGGTACCATATTACATCAACTTCAAACTTGATATAATTTTCATATTTTAGCACCTGCTTTTGAGGTACATCTTATCATCTATGACACAACATGGCTTAATTGCCAACAGTTTTTCTTTCTTAGTAGTACTTGTAATAATGATGTTTCTTACAATGAATGGCACATTTAGACGAGATCCTATACTTAACACTGTATAATTGCCATATTATACTGCATATGTATGGTGGAAGGAAAATCCTTCCTTCAGTGAAACACCTACATAAAAAAGGTACTACTGTTTAGAACTCCAAAGTAGCCAAGAGATGTTCCATTTGTATATTCTGCAACATGGCAGAGTCCCACCTGCTACGCCACAGGGGAGCAGCTTGATGAAGTAGCACGCTGTCATCCCCTTCAGTTAAGCAACCTCCCCCCGCAACCTGTGAGCCAAACAATGGTCAGCACCGGAGCAGAAGTGGGGAAGGCTAGCTCTGGAAACTGCATTCCAGTAACCCAGGCTTCAAGCTGAGCGAGAGCATGAAGAGGGGAGTGAAGGAATGAGATGCAAAAGGCCAAGGGACCATGTGTCTAGACTAGTAGTGATCAATAGAAGTATATTGTGAATCACATGTATCATTTTAAATTTTCTAGTAGCCATGCTTAAAACCTAAAACAGGTAAATTAATCTTAATAATAATATCTTATTTTAAAACCCAACATATTCAAACTATCATTTTACTGTGTAATCAATATAAAAAATCAGAAATATTTTGTGTTTTTTCACACTACGTCTTCAAAATCCGCTGTGTGATCTCATCCTGGATCAGCCACATTTGAATTGCTCCACAGCTTCATATGGGTAGTGCTTGCCATTTACATTGGACAGTACAATTCTAGATTGACTTTTGACCAACTCAGTTAAGTAGTAAGATGACAGTGACAGGCTATTTCAACAGTGGCTATTTTCACCACACAATATTAGGAATGTTTAAGATTCCAACGATATTACATTTTATTTTTGTTATTTAAAAATTCTGTACAAACGGTAGCTTTCCTTTAAATTCTTTCTGTGCTTTGCTTTAGCTGTTTTTGTTTTAGGCGTGATTGGAGGTTATTTCTAATGTCCTTCCCATCTTCCTTTCACTATGTTGGTTCAAGGAGAACTGACTCCTTTATTCAATTGGAGATCTTTTTCCAGTGAGACAGTCCCTGAGAGAGGAACAAGGAGTGCCTGAGGTACAGCAGGCTCTTGAATAAATACTTTTTTTAAGTTTAAGTAGGCTCCATGCCTAATGTGGGGCTTGAACTCACAACCCTGAGAGTAAGAGTCATGTTCCGCCAACGAAGCCAGTCAGGTGCCCTGAATAAACATCTTTGAAGACACACTGAATGGTGACCTAAGCTGGACCACAGAGGTTCTCAACCTGAACTACACACTGGAATCACCTGGGGAGTAAATCAATAATGCTAATGCCTGGTCCCACCCGCAGAGATGCTGATAGGAGGTCTGGAGTTCGGCCTGGGTATCAAAATGTTTAAAAAATCTCCCCCCAGGTGATTCTAGTCTACAGTCAGGGTTGAGAATGACTGCCGTAGGGTTTTCCTAGAACATCTTACTGTGGCCACACCCTTGCCTCGCTGACATATGGTCCAGTTTGCCTCAACTCAATTTCCTCTTTCAGAACAGACCAGAAGTTTCTCGAGAAACCTAACAGAGAAGAAACAAACACATAACCCCAAACAGTGATTTGCAAATTCCTTTTCTAAGGCACTGAAGATTTTCCAGGTTCTAAATCTATTTGTACTTTCTCTTTTTCCAACAACAACAAAAATTAAGATTTGCAATATAAGTTTTAAGACACTAGCTGGTTCCAAGAGAAAGGAGGTAAGGCCATTACAGCATACAAGCTGGTAATACCTACATATATACAGTGCAGAATTTTCCAGATATAGAATAATAATTAAAAATAAAAACAGAATCTAAGTACATATGAGCTTCATATCAAGTTAATTCTACATATGTCAAAAACAGAAATGATTAATTGGGCATCTGCAAAAGGAAATCCTTCATGCTTTCTCTTCAGGCCATTTAAGTTATATTTACATGGTATAATCCTAAAGCAATGCATCTATTTTGAAAAATCACATATAAAACATACCTAATCTTAGTCACATGACACATAAGGGGTAGGATCACTGCTCTTTAGATGGCACTTTGTCGGATGACATTGCTTCCGTCATATATGAGGTTCAGCAGTGGCCAAGAGAGAACTCCTGACTTCCGCTTCAACACAAACAAGCCCTCATCAAGGAGGAGGGAACAATGATCTCTGCACCAAAGGAATAGCTGGAACAGAGTTCCTCTGACTCACGGACTGAGAATTTTCCTGCCAATTCCCAAAGTGGTTTGGCCATACTTTATGGATTCACCCTGCTTAAATGGTCTTTTGTTGATGATGTGGTATCATATGGCCTTATTAATAAATAGAAAGAGCATGTTGATACCTCCCCAAAGGTTCCTACATGTAGTTCCTCTTTCTTTCTAGCAAAGACAAAAGCTCCCTCTAACTACCTCATGCTTTTTTTATTGATATAATTGACACATAACGTATTAGTTTCAGATGTACAACATCATTTATGTATATACTGCAAAATGATCATCACAGTAAGTCTAGTTAACATCCATCACCACACATAGTTACAACATTTTTTTCTTGTGATGAGAACTTTTAAGATCTACTCTCTTCTCAACTTTCAAATATACCGTGTTGTATATTTAACTATAGTCACCATGCTGTACATTACATCTCCATGACTTACTTATTTTATAACAGCAAGTTTGTCCCTCACACTTATTTTTGTTTCACATTGTAAACTGGATTTGAGAAATCAGAATAGGGAATATCCAAAGGCATTAAATGTCTATGTTCACTAACAGAGATCAACCAAAGCTCCCTATCCCTGCCAAAATCATGGAGGAAGGAACATAACCTCATAAGATTTCTAAATAAGTGTGTCAATGCACTAAGTGGTCTCATGCATATCACTTCCATCTACCAACCCCAAAAGGCTAACAAGTGCCAAATGATTGGATGTGTGACATTCACCTGGCCCCAATTTCCCATTCAGAAAAGGAATAAAAAATACTACACAAGTTTCCAAGATGCTACACTGATAAACCAGGGTTAGGATCACCATCCACCTGTTCGGGCTGACCACAAATCTGAAAGGCATGACTATATAAGCTCTGAACCTATGTCGTTTGTCAGGGAACATGTACTGAGGATCCTCTTGGGTTCCATGAAGAGACAGAGAAAAAGTCTTCCCTCAAAAGGTTTATAAGAACAGGAGTAACGTTAAAGGATTTGACATATTAAAAAGGGTTTGAAAGGTGATATGAAAGTGGCAGAACAATTCTATCTGCACTGAGTACGTAATCATGATGGGACGGTAGGCTGGTGGAATCCTTGGAGTTGCCGGTGGTTGGCAGGGATGCAAGGGGTTGTGGGCCTCAGGGAAAGATCCAATGAATGGGGGATGTTGCAGAGTTTTGTGTATGCGCAGCTGACGCCATTCCCTACCTTTCTGGAAGAACTCTTCTAGTTTGTCCTTGAAAGGCTGGAGATACTCCTTTGGTGACTCCTTGCATACCACGATCATCTGTTTCTCACTTGCTGTGAAGGAAAGTGTGGAATTAGATTTCCTCAAGAACATGTATTTGTTAAGCTTCTGCTCTCTGCTACGCTCTTCAGTATTAATTGTGCAAAATCCTTATCAATCACGGTTTATCTAAATTTCAGGGGAAAAAAAAAACCAGACATGGTTAGCTCACTCCACACCTTTCTTCAGGAACAAAGAAACGTACCACCTTCAACTTTCCTTTTAGAGATGCAGAAAAACCTCTGGCTTGGGACAGGAAAAGAATTATGCTTTTGGTCTCTCAAAAATTAAGGGAGGCAAAAACTACCGAATTCCCAGGGAATTAAAGGCCCTGATCCTCTTCAGATTCATACTCCAGAAAGAGAGCTTGAAACAGATTTTGCAGCAATTCCCAGGCATCCGAGTTGCCTGCAGCCACCCACATGCCAGCAGGAGGGGCAAGCCCAGTTCAGGGAGGTCTGCATCTCTCCTCCCTTCCTGTTGATACTCCCCTAACACATGTGAAATTGTTTTCCATGTGATTTACTTCAGATAGAATTTACAGACAGATTGATAATTTCTCATATATAATAGGTGACTTATAATAGAGTGCTTTTTTGACAATCATGCCCCCCTCAAATCAGAGAGTTCTGATTTGGTGATATGGAAACCACCCTAACCCACAGTTCACCATCCCAGTGGGAATGGCTGGAAGTGCCATTTACCGAGATGGGAAGAGTGGGAAGTGTAATCTTTTTGTTGTTCTAAGGGAGAGAAGATCAAGGGTGAACTCTGAGGCTTGTTAAGTTTTCTTTGGTCCGTGTGAATTACAAGGCAAAATCGTTCAGTAAAAACGAAGTAGAGGAGATACAAGACAAGATAAAACCATGAATGGGTGCTCTTTGCTAATTAAATTCAAACTCCAGGTCATTTCCATCATGGTACCATTTCCAACTTTCAGCTGTATTTCCCACCTAGATTTGACCAACCAAACCAAAATTCTGCAGTGTTTCTAAATGACATCAGCCATCATTCCCACTTCCACGTCTGTGTTTGTGTGGTTCTCTGCCCAATCTATTCACGTCTCATACATACTTACCACTGCATTTGACAGAGTCCCACTCATCCTAAAAAGTCTGACATGCTGCCACTACCATAAAGCTCCTTCCAATCCAAAGTTTTTGCAGCCTTCAAATTTCTCTAGTACCTTCTGTATGACATTTATGCTTTACCTTTAATCATATTTGTGTACTCATATTAATCCCTGTGAAGCCATCATGCAGGTTTTATTAACTTATCCCCAAACTTCTCTAGACTAGAGTTCCATGCATATCTGGCCAAAATCTGGCCAAAAGTATGATTTCCTCATCTTAACTACATTCTTATGTGAAGGAAGGTTAAAAAAAAAAAAATTAGCAATGTTGACCCAGACTCAGAGTGGGCTTTCCAGGAGGGCAGTGTGACTTCCTCCTCTTTTCCCTCCTTCCTGCCTTTCTAGGACAGGTACACCAAGGGTCCCAGTCTCCACTCTGAAACACTGTGATTGTCCCAAGCTGATTTTAAAGGGCTCAGTGTCTTCTAAAGACCTCCCAAAACATCTACTACTTAATGGCGCAAGGCACAGGCAAAGTAGCCAAGATAATCCTCCAGACTGGGTCGTTCTGAGGGTAGGCCTAGAAGTAGGAGACTGGTCTGAAAAACTTTGGAAGATGTCTGCTTTCAAAAATTGGCATTTTGGGGCGCCTGGGTGGCTCAGTTGGTTAAGCGACTGCCTTCAGCTCAGGTCATGATCCTGGAGTCCCGGGATCGAGTCCCGCATGGGGCTCCCTGCTCGGCGGGGAGCCTGCTTCTCCCTCTGACCCTCCCCCCTCTCATGTGCACTCTCATTCTCTCGCTCTCAAATAAATAAATAAAATCTTAAAAAAAAAAATTGGCATTTTTTCCAGGAACTTTCATGGCCACATGAACTTCCCTGATGATATCCAGCTATGATTCTGAGAACACAGGTAGCCATGTTTGAAAGAAAGCTGGAATTTCTTACAATATAAATTGGGAGAATCTTTTAAATCCTTTAACTAGGGGTGCTTGGGTGGCTCAGTCTTTAAGCGTCTGCCTTCGGCTCAGGTCACGATCCCAGAGTCCTGGGATCGAGCCCCGCATCGGGCTCCCTGCTCCGCGGGAATCCTGCTTCTCCCTCTCCCACTCCCCCTGCTTGTGTTCCCTCTCTCGCTGTGTCTCTCTCTGTCAAATAAATAAACAAAATCTTTAAAGAAAAAAAAATCAATCCTTTAACTAGCCCTCTACTACATTCAAATCCCAACAATTCCATTTAGAGAGAACTATTTTTCACAAACACAAATAATACATGGTAAGGCATGCCTGTACTTTGGTAATAGGACATAATTGAACCCAAGACAATAATTTCTTGAAGTTTGCTTCTCCCTAGCCAAAGCAAAGCCAAAGGCAGAGCTTATCTTCCCAATAAGCAAAACTTCCACTTCTACCTGAATTAAAAAGATTGATCATTGTGGCTCTCCCTTTGTCCTGGCTGTGGTGACAGAGCCCACAGGGTCCATCAAATAGCTCAGATGTTATGAGGCCCTAGGGTGATGTTGTAAAGGGCTTGTGCTTGGATCAAGAGTCCTACCCGGGCTCAGGTAGACTGTGGCTTGTCTCTCTCATGGGCAAGATGGGGACTCCCTGACTGATACGAAATCAGAATTAAGTGAGATAACACACATAAAATGGTTTGCACAATGCCTGGCACTGGCAAGGGGCCTCACAAAGATTATTTGTTATTTTTATGATTCAGCAAAATTGGTTCGGAAACACGTCACAACCAGAATGGCAAGGGAGTCATGGCTGAGAATCAGTGACTACAAAGGCCCCGCACTATATTTATAGAAACGTGCCCCTGTGCAAATCTCCTGTTTAGAACACAGGGATAATAATTTCTGTTCCCCTGCTGAAGTTGTACCACCCACTGTTAGGATTCACTGAAGAAACTCCTGAGAAAGATGAAGCAAATATGAAGCAAGAGCCCTAGGCAGCTGAGCCTCACGGTTCTGAAATCAGAACCTGAAGCCAGCCCGCACAAGAGCAGCTCCCCTGCTGTGCTCGGAGGTCCTCCCTGCACCCCGACAGGCCCAGCCTCCCACATGGCCTGTTGGCAGGAAACTTCTCTCCGTGATCAGAGTAGAGGGCTGCCCTCTGACCAACCCACTGGATGGTCTCGGCACAGTGGCACGTTCCAGTGGCCAGGCAGCTCGCCTGCTCCCACTTATTCACATGGCGTCTCCAAGAGACTTTCTGGCAGACAAATGGGAGACCTGAAGACTAATTAATGATGACACCAGAGACCGGCGGTGCACAAAGCAGAGAGGTCACTGGCAAATCCACAAATGTCGTTTATTGTTCAACCGGAGGGCATGTATTCAATGTTGCTAGACCACCAAGGTTGCCTTGGACTCAGGCTGTGCCCAGAGTTCCAATGTTTAAAGGCAAAGTCAGCCTACATTCACTTTCTCGTTATCTATTACATTTTTGGCAGAATTAAAAATATATTTATACCTGAAGTTAGCTACTAAATGGTCATCGTGAGAGATAGATTAAATATGGAAAACCAAAACATAATGGAATAATAGATACTAGATTTGAGAGAGTTATTTTAACTCATTGAAAAGTTAAGTGCTTGTGAAGCATTTTAGTGAAAGATAGGGCCTTGAGTGTTTTAAGATTTCAGGTATTAGACTCTTAAGGCCATAGGTGGCTGTCTGCCTTTTTGTTTTTGACACCTAAGAACTAGGAATAAAGTTCGCTGGAGCCCCTTAAAAAGCATGGGTAGGTTACAAGGATAAAGAGGCAAGGCCCAGATATAATTAATCAAAACCTAAGACGTACTGTACTGAATTGCTCAAAAGTACGTGGGCAGTTTTTAGAACATAGAGCATGTTTCTCTCTCTGAGTTGAAGGACCCGTGGGCTTAGTGGAGTCAGAATACATTTTTAGAGGAAAGGAGAGATTTATCTGGACTCTGCTTTTTCAGCCTGGAGTTCTCTCTTCTCTGCTTACCTAATTCCTGCCTCGCGCCCTCCGTGGTTCTGGGCCAGTTCCCACCTCTCCCTCAGTTTTACGAGATGCCCGTCCTTTTCCAAAAGCCCCAAGCTTCAAGGCCCATGATAGAGGACTGTTGTAGCAACATACAGAACTGTGACTAGAGCAAATTTTTACGTTTATCACTGGGGTTTACGTGAGAGATACTAATCAGAATCAGATACGAAGGGCACAGAATGCTGGGTTGAGGAGTTTATCCTCAAGGGATTCACTCAACAAATACATCAATTTGCCAAATATTCTCGTCTGTGCCAATTATGCACCACAACTTGAACTTGATACTGAGGATATATCAGTAGACAAAAAACAGACTAAAATCTCTGCCCTCAGACATCATAGTGAATAGGTCAGCAACAACAGTTTGTTAATGGGTAGGACACATAGCAATTTCTGTTTCTAGTAATTTGGACTGCATGCAAACAATGTGAATCATTACCTTCCATATTAACATACTGTACTGCAGTGTCTCTTTTTAGTAAAACCAGGACAGTATAGTGTCCTTCCTAGTGCTTTCCATGTGAAACACACACGTGTACACACACACACACAGATACAAACACAAACACACACACAGAACTCTTAGTTTTCTACCCCAAAACACACTTTTATCAAAAGAAACTAAAGGCAAAATTCAGAAATCAAAAGCACAATATTAGCACAATAAACCTACACAGTTCTTTTTCATGGTGTTGGCCTTGGACTGAATGGCTAGGGAGCTGTATTAAATTCAATGCACTAAAATAGTAAAATAAAAACAGCTTTTGCCCAGCTACAATTCAGGGATTTCTATGGAAGGGGAAATTTATATAGAAAGCTAATAAAATATTAAGAATTTTTAAACTTTGGTTAGTAAAGGTAGGCACAAAAGAGAGTGTTCTATTTTGTGGTTATTTTCCATACATTTTTTTTTTTTTAAAGGCTA